GACATGATATGTTGGGGGTGTGAAGAGGTGCTTACAATTGGAGAAGGGGTAGAGGGTAGAGAAGGTATGACACTCCACTCTCTCAGTGGATGGAATCAAAGAGACAGATACGCTGCTATCATGAATCTGGACTGAGTACCCCACTAACAGTGTGCTGCATGAGTTCTCTAGGCACAGAGGTAAGCAACAATCGACTGAGCAAGTGTTCATGGTCTTAGTGAAGCCTTTACCTACAGAAGGAAAGAAGGGACAGCAAACCGACAAAGATAGTAAAGAGAAATCACGTCCCTGATCGGAGATCCGTTGAAACAATATGCTAAGTGAAGGAAGGCTCCTTTTTTTTTTTTTTTTTTTTTTTTAAAGGAGGCTCCTATAGGCATGACAGAAAGATAAATAAAGCATAGGCTTGCAATCGGACCCGGCAGCAGGACGCCTAACGTTTATTGGAAATCTCCATCGAGTTGAAGGAGCTGTGCGAGCAGCTTGATGAGTTAGACGAGAAGGGGTCGATTAAACCACTAGTACACGCCCCCAGCCTTGCAGAAAGTTTTTGTTGCCACAAGCAAAACTCGGAGGCGCCGCGCGGCCAGGCCCGCCGTTGAAAAAAAAATTGGCGGCCACAGAAGTGGTGCGGGTTTCATGCTGACACCCGCGGCCCTATATGTGGTGTACTGCTGCTTTAAGCCAAGCTCATCCCCATATGGTGCACCCGGTCTGTTCCTTCCGACTATTCGTGCCTTAGAAAGAGGGCTAACTAAGACCTGTGTATAAACTCTAGACTCTAGAGTATAGGGGCCTCATCCCCATAGGGTGCACCATAGTATAGATGATCTATTGGACAGACTGCAGGGATGCATGTATTTCTCTAAGATTGATCTAAAGTCTGGGTATCACCAGATCGAGGTAGCCCAGGAGGATCAACATAAGAGGCATTTCGGATCAGATGCGCGCTCGACGTTGTGGTGCCCATTAAACTGACCAACGCCAGCACTACATTCGAATGCTACATGAACGATACAGTTAGGGAATTGCATGATAGATTCGTAGTAGTATACACGACGTTGTGATGCCCATTAAATGTCTACTCTTTTAATTAGCAAGTCATTCGAGGAACGTGTAGAGCATAAGATCCACATGCATCCAAGGGGTACAGGGTTTTCTGGCCTGGTTGTATAGTGGCCAGGGCTTTTTTTTTTTTTTGTTGTTGTTGTTGGCAGAGTTTTTTCAGAACGTCGTACCCTCAATTTAATGAATTTTGGGCCAAAAAATGAGATCTCAATTAAAGTCAATTTCGTTCAAAAAATACAATGTCCATTTTAATGAAGTCGCTGTTTTTAGCAAGTCATTTGAGGACCATGTAGATCATTTGCAGAAAGTATTGCAGATGTCAGCAGTACATAACTTGTCAGTCCATGCGGACGTGCTGCTGCATTATTTTTGGATATTTCGCACTAGTGTTTTGTGTTTTTCGGTTGTTTGTTAATATGGAGTCCACTCTATGGACCGGTGCCAAGTCTTGTTGAAAAGGCCTTCAGGTTTTCTTTAAAAATAGCATTGAAAAAAGTTCGAAAAACGCTGCGAATTTGGGTCTCAGTTAACCACCACTCAGTAGGTAGTCGACAGCAGCAGGTGCCACCGCTAGGTTGAGAGCAAGAGAGAGAGAGAGAGAGAGAGAGAGAGAGAGAGAGAGAGAGAGAGAGAGAGAGAGAAGCGAGGTTTGTATGAAGACAATTCTGTGTAATTGAGTTGATTGCTTCTAGTTACATCTCACTTGTGCTTTGGTTGTGTATGTGTCATCGAGCATGCGTGCATGTTTGGTCTCAAAGCATTAATCTTGTCTAAAAACTTTAACTAACAATGGCTTCTGCTTTTTATTATTTTACAGGTCCAAAGAGCACAGTGGACAGCGTTACTCGACACCTTCGTCTGCTGCACTGAGAGGAGGTTTTTGTGCATTTTGTGGATAAGGCTCATAAGGCTCATAATGAGTACAGTACCACGGTATTATTGTACCTCTCACTCTGTCTCTCACACACATGTACACACAACACACCCCGATAGACAAACATAGACAAACACATCTGCACACAGATCAAATATGGTCTGCCAACCATAGATCCCTAGTTGTCGGCGACTCCCAACTGAAAAATTGAGTGATTCCACAAAACAACATCAACCAAAATATCTATTGTACAGGCACAGTACACCATTGCACATCCCCTTCCTTTTTAGACCCAAGACAATCTCAAACAGAGTTTAGATAGCTTTGGGCTTCGTGTGTCTTCAGAAAAAGGGTGCGTTTTTTTTGGACCATGTGGAAAAAATTGTTTTCTCGCAAGAGTCAAGAGAAGCATGAGGCTTCTGGAGCTGTCCACAGGGGCAGGGTGTCTTTTTACTTGTCCATTTCAAGCGGGTAGGCGATGGGTCGGTCTCAGTCCGCTTGTCTTTCTTTTTTTTCGGAGTCGTTTGCGGCATCGACGCAGATTCTTTTCCAGATAAGACAGCATACATCGTAGGTGGTCATGGTCTGACCACTGATTTTAAAATTTTCATTTGGGCTTGCTGTTGCACTTTTCCTTCTTGGCATTGCATCAAAGCTTGATAGCTTCTGCCTTCGACTCGACCCCGTTGGTTTGGGGCGTCCAAGGCTGGCAAGCAATCGCTGTTGATCGCAGGATATGCCGAATCTATTGTTGTTGTTGTCGTCGTTGGCACGGAATCCAGCAAAAAGACAACCAGTGCCAACTTTGAACATGTCTGAAGTCACACCGGCGAGACTGCTGATGCTGTGGACGACATGGCCCAGCCCTTCTTTGTATCTTTTAGGTAGAGTTATCGCAGGTTAGAAATCACACAGAGGTCAGTGTTTCGACCCCTTTTTTTTGGCTTTTTTAATGGTTCGATGATTCGGGCCGCTTGATGTTGATGTTGAGGGCAGAGGAATTTTTGTCCTGTTGCTGTTGCTGTTTCTGTTGCTGTCGTGTGTTTTCCACGACAAGAAAACTACCTTGGACTACTCCCCGATGGTTTGGGGCATCCATCCAGAGCTCACAGCCGCTGTTCAATGCGCTCGCTGGCTCGCAGCGGAAGCCGGCGGGGCTGCCGCTGAAGTGCCTTCCTTGCAAGAAAATATTGCAATTCGGTTTTGTCGCTCTCATTATTGTCGTTGTTGGTAGAGTCACACAAAAAACTTCCTTTCACTTATCCCACATGAAACAGCCGTGCCGTGACATGGACGAGATGATGTCACAGGACTTCGTGGACCCGTCTTTTTTTCCACCTTGTTTCAGACCAGACGAGGGACCACACACATGTCATGGTTTCCTGTCTGCCGATTATGAGATGAGAATTTTCTCGTTGTCGTCATAATTGTTTGTTGTTGTTGGTGGTTCTTCTGCTGTTGCTGTTTTAGGATGATTTCCAAAGCTCCCTTGAAAACTACCTTTGACTGATCCATTGTCGCCTTCACGCATCCCACAGCCCACAGCTTCTGCTGTGATGCACACTGCTGGAGGTTCCACACTTCTGTTGTTGTTGTTGTTGTTGTTGTTGTTGTTGCAGCCAGCGAAAAGAAAAGGGAGGTTCATTTTTCGTTTTCCCAAGCTCCGAAAAAGTCCAGAGGGACCTCTGTTGTTGTTGCTGTTGTTGATGATGATGCGGCCAGCAAAAAGAAAAGGAAGGTTCATTTTTCGTTTGCCAAGCTCCAAGGTTCAAATTGCCCCCTTCAGGTCTTGAACCTGCAACCTGCCGCAGCACAAGACCTGCTGCAAGCGTTGTTGTTGCTGGTCTGATTGTGCGAGTATGAGAGCCGTTTTCGACTCGTCTCCTGCCAAACTGACACAGTTTTTTTGAATCAGCTGCTGCTGAATGCGTCAGGACAAAGCACAAGAAAAGAACAAGAACTCCAAAAAGTTCATTTCTTAATTTTATGCAATCAGACACGTTTTCAAACACACTTTTCATGTATGTAAACAGCACGCAGCATACTGGCGACATGCGCCCACTCAAAACTCAGAGATATGGCTTTCAGATACGAGTTCACTCTCAATTGGCTATGGCGACTTCAGCGCCCAAACATCTCACTGTTCACATACACTGGATCACCCTGGATACCCCACACGCATCAGGCCCTAACACTCGAACACACACACACACTCACTACTAACTACAGCAATGGCAGCTATCGCTGCATCTAACCTATCGCTATGCTAACTCCCTCTCTCTTGCCCACTGCGTCCTCCGGGCTCATCTGCAGACCTCCTTGCACAAGTCGCTGTGGCAACGCTTCCGCATGGCTCACGCAGGAATGAATGAATGGCTGGGCGCTGCCTCTTGATTTATACTTCAGAAACTCGTTGGTCTGCCCTTTGCCATCGGCCCTTGGTGCTCACAGTCCCCCTGTGGTACTTGCTGGACC